AGACAGCAATTAACAACAGTCGAACAAGAGCAGAGAAAGTCCAAGCACAAGCAGAGTACATAGAAGCAAACAAGAAAGTGAAGAAGAGCATTAGAGCTGATAAGCAAAAATACGTGGAAGAACTAGCAACGACGGCGGAAAAAGCTGCAAGAGAAGGAAATATGAGACAGCTTTACGATACGACGAAGGAGCTTGCAGGGAAATACAGTAAACCAGAGAGGCCAGTCAAAGACAAAGAAGGAAGACCAATCACTGAGATTCAACAACAGCGCAACAGATGGGCAGAGTACATCGAGGAACTCCTGAACAGGCCGGCTCCAATGAATCCACCGGACATCGAAGCAGCACACACAGATCTTCCTATAAATGTCAATCCACCAACGACAGAATAAATCAGAATGGCCATCAGACAAATCAAGAGTGGGAAAGCAGCAGGACCTGACAATATACCAGCTGAAGCGTTGAAGTCAGACATCGAAGTAACTACAAGCATGCTTCATCTTCTATTCAAGAAGATTTGGGAAGAGGAACAAGTGCCGATGGATTGGAAAGAAGGACACCTCATCAAGATTCTAAAGAAAGGAGATCTGAGCAAGTGTGAAAACTACAGAGGCATTACACTACTGTCAATACCGGGTAAAGTCTTCAACAGAGTGTTACTGAACAGGATGAAAGATGCAGTTGACGCTCAACTTCGAGATCAACAAGCTGGATTCCGTAAGGACCGGTCGTGCACAGACCAGATTGCGACACTACGGATCATCGTCGAACAATCAATTGAGTGGAACTCGTCACTCTACATCACCTTCATTGATTATGAGAAGGCATTTGACAGTGTAGATAGGAGGACGTTATGGAAACTTCTTCGACACTACGGAGTTCCTGAGAAGATTGTCAACATTATCCGGAACTCATACGATGGACTACAGTGCAAAGTAGTGCATGGAGGACAGCTGACTGACGCATTCCAAGTAAGGACCGGAGTAAGACAAGGCTGTCTACTCTCTCCCTTCCTGTTTCTTCTGGTGGTCGACTGGATTATGAAGACCTCGACATCTGAGGGAAACTACGGCATACGATGGACAGCTCAGAACCAATTAGACGACTTGGACTTCGCAGATGACCTAGCCCTCCTATCACATACACACGAACAAATGCAGATAAAGACAGCCAGCATAGCAGCAGTCTCTGCATCAGTAGGCCTCAACATACACAAAGGGAAAACCAAGGTCCTCAAACACAACACGAAGAACAGCAATCCAATCACTCTTGATGGCGAAACTCTGGAAGACGTGGAATCCTTCACATACCTGGGAAGCATCGTCGATAAACAAGGAGGTTCAGATGCAGACGTCAAGGCGAGGATTGGCAAAGCTAGAGCGGCATTCCTTCAACTGAAGAACATATGGAACTCAAAACAGCTGTTTCTCAACCAATATCAAAGTCAGAATCTTCAATACGAACGTCAAGGCAGTTCTACTGTACGGAGCTGAAACTTGGAGAACTACAACAACCACCATCAAGAAGGTACAGGTATTTATTAATAGCTGTCTACGCATGATACTCAACATCCATTGGCCGGATACCATCAGCAACAGCCTTTTGTGGGAGAGAACCAACCAGCTTCCAGTTGAAGAGGAAATTAGGAAAAGACGATGGAAATGGATAGGACATACATTGAGGAAATCATCAAACTGCATTACGAGACAAGCGCTAACTTGGAATCCTGAAGGGAAGCGGAAAAGAGGAAGGCCAAAGAACACATTACGTCGGGAAATAGAAGCAGATATGAAAAAGATGAATAAGAACTGGAAAGAGCTTGAAAGGATTGGTTGGGACAGGGTTGGATGGAGAATGCTGGTGAGCGGCCTATGCTCCTTCACGAGGAGTAATAGGGGTAAGTAAGTAAGTAAGTAAGTAAGTGAGTAAGTAAATAAGTATGATTTACTACACTTATACTAATCAGAATTTTATTTATCAGACTATAATGAAGTAATGAAAAAGATTCAATCCACTTTTACTAAACATAATCTAGGCATATTTGTCTATCATTATGGTGAATTACCAACATTACACTATGATAAACAATTATCCATTGATTACGCTCAATGAATTGTTAACTCTAAACCATGTGAAGTTAGTATGACTTGTAATTGCGAAATACTAAAGACTGAAAGGTGAGGAATATTCTATACTAAATGAAGATGGAATCATTCCAAGTGATTATTATATGCTTGAATCACAAATTAATTGGTATGATTTAAATCCGAACGATGGTATTATTAGAATGGAATCATGTATTATTATTATTATCAGAAGGGGTTGTGTGGAGATTTTAGAAATTTCACTGGTTGAAATCATGAGTCAATTGAAGCTAGACCACCATGGAAAATCTGGAAACACTGAACGGCCGTTTCGTTCTAGTATGGGACCTCTCAGCAGTATACATCCACGATCCCTCCACCCCCCCCCCACAAGATTCGAACCGAGGACCTATCTGTCTCGCGCCAGGCGCTTAACCAACTAGACCACTGAGCTGGCATCCAACGGTGTTAATATCTAACTTTAACTAATCCACGAAATTGCGCCACCGTACACCATTGTCTTCAGTGAGCTGATATCTCACAACAGATCTGGTTGAATTCCAATGGTCACGGCTTCTCACTAGAACTCCAGGAAATGCCTCTTGAAGTCAATCACTAGTGAGCAGATGATTATTATCGAAAGGGGTTTCATGGAGAGTTTACAAATTTTAGTAGTTGAAATAATGGGTCAATCGAAGATAGACCACCATGGAAAACCTGGAAGCAATTACAATCTCCCATGTTCACAGTCACTTCAAATGACTCAGATTAGTGTACATCAGATGATATAGACATTTGATAAACCGTAAAAGAGTATTCCTAATATATGAGTTATAATCACATTATCAGTATTATTCTCAAATGATTATATAGCTTAATCACTATAACTTGATTATAAGTCATCAGTGTTATTTCAGTTGACCTTCCCCGTAGAAATAAAGTGCTCGTACCACTGATTTGATCTTAGTACCTAATTTCCAATATATAATACAATTGCTTACATGCTTATGCCTGTTACTCCCAATGGAGCATAGGCTGCCGAACAGCATTCTCCAACCCACTCTGTCGTCGGCCTTCCTTCCCGGTTTTATTCAATTTTTGTTCATTCTTCTAATGTCTGTCTCCATTTCTTGGCGTAATGTGTTCTTTGGTCTTCCTATTCTCATTTGGCACTGAGGATTCCTAGTGAGGGCTTGCCTTGTGGCGCAGTTGGCTGCCTTCCTCAATATGTGTTCTATCCGCTTGCAGCACTTCTTTCTGATTCTTTCCTTCACTGGAATCTGGTTTGTTCTCTCTGTCAATTTCTATTGATATATGATAACTTGTAAATATTCTTTTTTCTGTGTAGAGCGCACTACTGAGTAGTCCCACAGTAGGACGAAACAGCCGTCCAGTGCTTTCAGGTTCTGCATGACGTTCTAACTTCAATTGACTGATGATCTCAACTATTAAAATTACTACAATATCCATAAAACCCCTTTTGATATTAAATTGTATGTTTGCTTATTTATTTCTTGACTGAATTATTATTGAGTTAATGGGTTGTATGTTGTTACATTGAATGAGATTACCTCTGCAAATTTGCTAATTGCACAAACGACACCACTTCATAAACCTTCATATATGAATCTAAACGTTCTATCGTTTGACGATAGAACGACGACTAATTACTGGATAAAATTAGTTTAGACTGATCAGTCTATGGAGTTCAATGAATTCAATTGATTTACTACACACTGTATTATTATTATTATTTATTATTGGTGGCTTTATTCAGTATTATATTTAAGGTACAATATAGAACTCTCAACACCAAGTATTTCAACAAGTTTCCTTTTCTTATTTTTGTTAGTCGATACTGATGATAAATATTGAGTAGTCACCAGGTAGAAGTTAGCAGTCCTAGAATCGACAACCACGCATTCTTGCAATTTGCACAACTAAAGTGTTGAGGATGTTAGATCCTCGGAACTCACTTGGTAAATACACCAAAAGCGCTCATTTCCACCTTCAAGTCGTATTTCCCAATTGGGAGAATCTTAAACGCTATTGGTTTGTTGTATCTTTTAGTATGCTGTTTTTGCAACGCTTCCCAAAGACAATTTTATGCTGTATACATACGTTTATTATGTGCCTATTGTTATTGCTTGTGCTTCTGGCTGGTTGTGGAATATATTTCTACGTTTCGAACTTGAAGTTTTCTCTCTAGTTATCGAGGCTGGGACGTATCAGAATAGCCAGCTTATTGATCTTTGTTCACCGAGTCTTTGTTCCATTCGCAGACTAGGTGAATTCTTAATCACTTCAAACATAGTAGAAAGGTTGTACACTTCACAGAAACATACCTGAATAGGTTATGCAATTAATAGACATTATGATGTATTAAAACAAACAAACAGAAACCAGATAACTTGTTGAAATATCTAGATGGCAAGAAACAAGTAGACCAGATATTTAAGTTTACTAGCAACCAACACCAAAGTCAGAATTTTTAATACAAATGTCAAGACAGTTCTACTGTATGGTGCGGAAACCTGGAAAACTACGAAATCCATCATCCCAAAGATACAGGTGTTTATTAACAGTTGTCTACGCAAAATACTTCAGATCCGCTGGCCGGACACTATAAGCAACAACCTACTATGGGAGAGAACAAATCATATCCCAGTGGAGGAAGAAATCAGGAAGAAGCGCTGGAAGTGGATAGGACACACATTGAGGAAAGCACCGAACTGCGTCACAAGACAAGCCCTCATATGGAATCCTCAAGGTCGAAGGAGGAGAGAAAGACCAAAGAATACATTACGTCGGGAAATGGAGATAGATATGAGAAAAATGAACAAGAATTGGATGGAACTAGAAAAGAAGGCCCAGGACAGAGTGGGTTGGAGAATTCTGTTCGGCAGCCTATGCTCCATTGGGAGTAACAGGCTTAAGTAAGTAAGTAATAAGTATGTCTTGACTAAATTCTATTAATCTATCATTATATTTAGATACTATGATGCTTTCAAATAAATCCATTTTATACTAAGTTGTAGTTTAATATAAACCAATCATTTGATTATCTTCACCTAGATACCTATAAGGTCATTCCATTTGTATACCAGCATAGTTTCATTCATTATCAATTACGCTGGATAGGTTGTAGTACGTTATATAATTGTTTCAATCAATTCATATACTTATATTGATTATTGAAGAAGATCTATGTATTCATCATTGAACAACTTCTTTTTATTCTTTCATTCCTTGATTCTTTCATGTTTATCTATAATCAATTGGGAAGACGTATTCGTTTAGAAGAAGCATCAAATTTACAAAAATCAAAATATGATCATTATTTCTATGATAGATTATCTTTATTAAGATCTAATCTAAATATTAAATATAATAATAAATTAAATTATATTCAATTGAATTCACCATGGGATTATGAATTACAAAGATTTTTAATAAAAGGTGGACGTCAATTAATCCCATCGAAAAGATTACAACATTGTCAACGTTCTATACAAAGTGCTGGTTCATGTTTATTACAAGAATATAAAAGAAAACAAAATGAATATCAACAAGACATTGAACAGAATCATGATATTTTACATCAGGTTAATAAAGTGGATCATGGTGATGATGATCGTGGTGACGGTGATGGTGATCGTGGTGATGGTGATGATGATGATGATGATGAATTTTGGAATATTGAATTCAATGCAAATGATGATTCATCTAGAAAACATTCCACATCAGCTGATATAAATGCCTTACATAGAAAGGATAATAATAACAACAGTAAGGATAATATAAAATCATACCATTTACGTATCACACTCAATGATATAATACAAAAAATTGAAGATAATCAAGGTATGGACATTCATACCTTTAATTATTTAACAAATTCTACTTCATCATGTAATGCTCTAGTTCAATCAGGTTATCGTACGAAGACATCATCAGCATCATCATCATCATCATCATCGTCGTCATCTTCATCATCATCTTCAACACCAACATTTCCTTCTTCTCCATTCAGTGAAATTCCTGATGATTCTAATGATGAAATTGATATGTCTAATGAATTCAAATTACATTCTATGAAAAAGATACGGGTAGGGGTTTGAGATAAATTCTTGTCTGTTTTTTTTAAAGACATATTCTTTCTCTGTACACTGATATGAATACGATGTTGATTCAGATGTGTGTAGTAAGGTTAGAAAGCCTTTACCATTGTGTTTCTATGAATATCCAGTCTTCTGTTGAATGAGTCAATTGAAGGTGTGAACACTACTGTTTCAGGTAACAGGTTACAAGAATTGATGACTCAGTGTGAAAACCTGTATGCCAAGAGTATGTTGTTCGTTCTTGACTTTTCTACTCGCCTGCTATGTTTTCTAAGATATCCCGATCTAGTGGGAAGAAAAACAGAGAACATGTTGGATCCAAAATCATTTCTTAGTATTTTATACATCAAAATTAGATCATCTCTTAGTCTGCGATAGGATAGAGTAAAGTGGTCTAGCTTTTTCAGCCGCTCTTTGCATGGTAAACCCCGAAGTTCTGGAATTGCATGGGTAGTTGCTCTCTGTACTTTTTCTAGGATATCCAAGTCATCTTTTAAACAATGGATTGTATCCTGAATGCAGTTCTTAAGCTTATTTCTCAGTAAGGTTGTGTATACTGTAGTGAATGAGTGCGAGGAAGAAAAAGTGAATCGGAAGTCATTACTTACATGATGCATAGTAAAAATATACGACACTAATTATTTGAATAGAATATTATACTTTAATAGTTGAGATCATGAGTCAATTGAAGCTAGTCGATCACGGAAAACCAGGAAGCACTGGATGACCGTTTTGTCCCATTGTAGGACTCCTCAGCAATGTGCATTCATTACATTGTTATAAATAATACTAATAATACAGTAGATAGAAACTACTTGGACACCATGAGAATATAAAACTCCATGAGAATGTTTAGTACAATGGAACACCAAATGAAATGGTAATATTAAGAAAAGATAAAGAAGGAATATAAAAGTTACACAATCAATCAATATACAATCTACCATAAACTCTAAATCCTGAATTTCTTGCTGTTTGATTTAGATTACATAATATTGTAATATAGTGTGAGACATATTAGAGCTAGTCGGTGGCCTATGCTCCATTGGGGGTAACAGACGTAAGTTAGTAAGTAAATAAGTAAATAAGTTAGTAAGTAAGATATATTATGACAAGAAGACAAGTAGTCAGATTGATAGAGTTCAATCAGTGGCAAAAAAAACTAGACAATTGCTTAAATGATCGATGCATATTTGCAATTTAACTTCGCCTAGAGCCCTCTTGGCTAACTGCCGGTCCCAAGCCTGGATAAAGGAAGAAGATTGGGTATGGGGTTAGTGACCCCATCCCGTAGAAACGAACTCTCTAAAACTCGTTTAACTCTTATGTAAAGTACTTTCACTTAACTATTGAACTATTTATTTGAATTTGTTTTAAGCCTATAAATCTATTTAAACGGATTATTATCGCTGGTCTACTGCTACGTGCAACATTGAATCTTATCAGGTAGGTTTACCAGGAGGATAATATGGTATTATTTTTATATAAACATGAACAAATCTATGATTGAAATATGAACATATTGACTATAATGATTAAAGGTCATAGGTTTTAATTATTATTGATTGGTTGATCTGAACACACATATATTGGTAAAAAAAGGGGGCACAGAATATACATGCTCCACACAAGTCACTTGATTTGTGTGTATGGGCTGCGATATTGCCCGGGTGCCCAAACCAATGCAAGTGCTTTACTTAGGGGGCCACACCCGGAACCTTCGATCTAAAGATTTAATACACAAGGCAGTGGAGCAACGTCAGGAGATGCAGTCACATGGTAGCTGGTGACTAACAATCGGTTTATACGCTATCTGTTCCTTCAGGATACTGGAGGCCATATGCACCATTGGTTTGGAATGAGGGTTTTCCAACTTCCCTAGGTGGATCCTTCATTCCATCAACCCGATTACAGCACCGGACATTCACTTTCCTTTCTCTCGATTTCGTAAGTAACAGAGCAGCCGCGAGAATTCAGTGGCTAGGACTTCTGTAGCACGGGCTGTATACGCGTGAGAGCATTTTGAAAGGTAGAGCTGACAGGCTTTAATCAGAGAATAAGTTATGTTTACATATTCTTTAAAAGTTTTGAAATAAGATAAAGTCTATGGTTGATGTTCAATGGCCTGTGGGTGTTGAGCATAATCATTATAGAGATCTAAACCAATATTCATTGTGACCTAATAGTATCTTGGTATGGTGGATGATTTTGATGCAGATACAACCAAAACTATAACGTAAGGAATGACAGGTTTAAGGTCAATAAGGACCAATCAACACCGAGTCGAATAGGACAAGCTGTGAAACGCATATGGAGAAATTTGAACACTTCACTTCTACCTGAAGTTTGTGCTGATAATGTTGCTTAGAAGAACGATGAAAGCTCTACGACCAAACCATTTCTGATTACTGTCTTTACTTTTAATACCTCTATCACTATAGGATTTGAATCGATAATTGTATCTCTGTGCTGATATAGTATGGAAACTTGAACTGATCTGCGTATCTCCAAAGTTCTGCATTGCTATTGACTGACTGACTGATTGACTGATCAAGATATAATTACATTTACTTCAGTAGTCAATGCCTCAATAGGAAACATCTTTATAGAACAGAAATAGATTGTTCTTTGTATACTTTTCTTTCCTTTTCTATTCTTTTTTGTTTTTGTTTACAGACCAATACAAGAATTGAAAGATGCTAAATTACGTAGTAAAAGTGCTCAAACATTTGTTGAACTTCAAAAGAATATTGAAGTGAAATTAAATATTGATCATTTAGGATTTGATAAATATGCATATAAAGTAAGTTCAATGTTATTGTATAGTTTACTCAATCAAAACAAAAGTCTCTGTAATGAAGTATAACAATGTATTCTTCTGAGATAATGGAGAAGATTGATAGCTTAGATGGATGATTTTGATGGTAGAAGTCTACGATCTGAAGTTTGTGCTGATGATATCGTTCAGGGGAACGATGAAAGCTCCACGACTAAACCATCCAGCTTAGGGAAAAAAAAAACTCTCCATCAAAATATATTCTTCATTTCGATTCAATAAACAATGAACGCTTCCTAAATACCAGATTACCCCCCCCCACAGCGCAATGAAGAGAAAGAAAGTATAAACTGAATATGGATTTAATAATAATAATAATAATAATAATAATAATAGTAATGATGCACATAGCTCATGGGTTAATGTAGGTTGTTAAAGTAATCCAGGAGGGATTATGTGGATGGTAACACAGACTAAAGTTATCTAGCATAAGGTTTACTTTCTACTTTATCGACATAACCAAATCGATTAATGAAAATTGTATGGAATAACAATGATGCATACTAATGACTACTGATATCCATTGTGCAAAGATATGAAAAATATCAAAACGACAACATCTTGCCTGTGTCAGTGAAGATTTATTATCTAACAAGAACACAACACTTAATTATTTGGACCTGTTACCCCTACAATAGCATAGGCCACCCATTAGCTTTATCCATCCAACTCTGTTCTAGACAATCATTTCCAGTTCTTTCTTGTTGCTATTCATCCTATCCATGTCTGTTTCCAATTCTTGCCCTATTGTGTTCCTTGATCTTCCTCTTTTCCGTATCCTTTTAGGATCTTAGGTTAGGGCTTGCCTCGTGATGAAGTTCGGTGATTTCCGTAACGTATGTCCTATTTACTTCCAACGTCTTTTACAAATTTCTTCATCAACTGGAAGTTGGTTTGATCTGTTCTATAGTAGGCTGTTGTTGATGGTATCCAGCTTAGAGGCACTGAATATCTTTCATAGACAATTGTTTATAAATACTTTCAGATCCGTACAGCAGAAATGTCTTGACGGTTGTATTGAAGATTCTGACTTTGATATTGGTTGAAAATTGTTTTGAGTTCTATATATTCTTCAGCTGTATGAATGCTGTTCTTGCTTTACTAATCATCGCCTTTACGTCTGCATCAGATCCTGCACGTTCATTCATGATGCTACCCAAATAAATGAATGTTTTCACCTTTTCCAGAGCTTCTCTGACAAGTGTGTTGTATTTGAAAATCTTGGTTTCGCCCATGCGTATTTTAAGGCCTACTGTTTCAGAGATTGATGCTACATTGTTTGTCATGACCTGCAATTTTTCTTGTGTATAGGATAGAAGACGTGCCTCAGAAGATAGTCAATATCATACAGAATTCCTATGATGGATTAAACTGCAAAATCGTGCATGGAGGACAGTTGACAAAGTCGTTCGAAGTAAAGACCGGTGTCAGGCAAGGTTGCTTACTCTCACCCTTTCTCTTTCTCCTGGTGATCGACTGGATCATGAAGACGTCAACATCTGAAGGGAAGCAAGGGATACAGTGGATAGCTAGGATGCAATTGGATGATCTAGATTTCGCAGATGATCTGGCTCTTTTATCGCATACGCAACAACAAATGCAGGAGAAGACAACCAGTGTAGCTGCAGCCTCAGCAGCAATAGGTTTCAATATACACAAAGGGAAAAGCAAGATTCTTCGACACAACACAGCATATAACAATCCAATCACAATTGACGGACAAGATTTGGAAGATGTAAAAACCTTTACATATTTGGGCAGTATCATCGACGAACACGGTGGATGTGATGCAGATGTGAAGGCACGGATTGGCAAAGCAATAACAGCATATTTACAACTGAAGAATATCTGGAACTCAAAACAATTGGCAAACAACACCAAGGTCAGAATTTTTAATACAAATGTCAAGACAGTTCTACTGTATGAAGCCGAAACCTGGAAAACTACGAAATCCATCATCCAGAAGATACAGGTGTTTATTAACAGTTGTCTACGCAAAATACTTCAGATCCTTTGGTCGGACACTATTAACAACAACGTACCGTGGGAGAGAACAAATCAGATTCCAGTGGAGGAAGAAATCAGGAAGAAGTGCTGGAAGTGGATAGAACATTCATTGAGGAAAGCACCGAACTGTGCCACAATTTAAGCCCTCACATGGAATTATCAAGGCCAAATAGGGTGAAGAGGAATACCAAAGAACACGTTACTCCAGGAAATGGAGATAGACATGAGAAAAATCAACAAGAATTGGATGGGACTAAAAAAGAAGGCCCAGGACAGAGTGGGTTGGAGAATGCTGGTCGGCGGCCTATGCTCCATTGGGAGTAACAGGCGTAAGTAAGTAAGTATAGGATAGAAGAGCTAGATGATCTGCGAAGTCCGAATCATCTAGTCGCATCCAAACCGTTCATTGTATTTCGTGCTTCCTTCCAAATGTCCAGGTCTTTATAATCCAGTCAATCACTAGAAGAAAGGGAAAGTGGGAGAGTAGGCAACCTTGTCTGACTCCGGTCCTCACCTGGAATGCATCTGTCATCTGTCCTCCATGCACCACTTTACAGTATAGTCTGTCGTATGGATTCCGTATGATGCTGATGATTTCCTCAGGTACACCACAGTGTCGAAGTTCCATAACATTCACCTATCTACATTGTCAAATGCTTTCTCATAATCAATGAAGTTGATGTATAGTGACGAGTTCCATTTGATTGACTGGTTAACGCTGATCCGTAGTATCACGATTAGGTCTGTGCACGACCGATTCTTACGGAATCCAACCTGTTGATCTGGAAGCTGAACTTTTCCTGGTACTGACAGTAATGTGATTCCTCTGTAGTTCTCAAATTTGTTCAGATTTCCTTTCTTTGATATCTTGATGAGATATCTTTTATTTCAATTTGTCGGTTGTTGTTCTTCCTCCCAAATCTTCCTGAATAGAATGTGAAGCATGTTTGCAGTTAATTATGTGTCTAGTATATTGTCAGGTCGTTGGTGGTGTGACATGTACAAGAAGGTATATGTGCTGCTTCACTGTTCATTGGATTCAATCGAGCTGGTCTGTTCAAGAGTTCCTCGATGTTTTCCACCCATATGTTCCTCTATTCTTGAATTTCAGTGATTGGCTTTCCTCTTTGCCCTTGACCAGTTTCTCTGGTTTACTATGTTTCCTTGTTAGTTTCTTCGTTGTGTTACATAGTTGTCTCGTATTTCCTTTCCTTGAAGTGTTTTCCTCTGCCATTGCTAGGTCTTTCACATATTTCTGCTTGTCAGCTCTAATGCTCCTGTGTATTCCGTTTGTGCCTAGACTTTATCTGTTCTTGTTCAGATGTTGTTAATTGCTATCTGCTTGTTATTCCTTTCTTGAATATTGTTCAGGGTTGACATAGAGATCAATTCCTTATGATGATGCTTGTTACGGAGTACCACCTCCTGACACTTTGAAGTTAGTGCTTCTTCGATACCTTTCCACTTGTCCTCCATAGTAGTTTCTTTCTCATCCAGTAGATTCTGTAAAGCTTGGAACCTATTGTTGAGAGCTATGTTGAATCCATTGAGTTTATCAGTATGTTGAAGGAAGTCCGTATTGAACCTTTGTAATGCTGTTTGTCTAGTTTTCGAATGCTTCTTTAGCTTCAGTTTCACATCGGCCACAAACAGGCAATAATATGAAAATATATCAACTTTTCTCCTGGTTCTCATGTCTTCCAATGACCTGAATTTTCCAGTGATGTAAATATGATCAATCTAGTTCGCTGTAATGTGATCTAATAAGATCCATGTAGTTATTTGTATTTGTTTTTGAAGGAATATTATGCTGCTTATGACCAAGTTTTTGAATGCACATAAATTTACAAATCTGTCTTCATTCTCGTTCCTTTCTCTTAGTCCATGTCATCCCATATTATCTTTATACCCAGTGTTAACCATTCTGTATTTGGCGTTAAATTCTTCCATCAGGTTGACCAGGTCCTTTCATCAGTACTTCTCTATGATCAACTGCAACCTCTCATAAAACTGATGCTTATCGTCTTTACTGCTAACGTTGGTGGGTCTATGACACTGGATAACATTCATTATGATCTCCTTTTACTTTGTTATAAGTCATATCTTATCATTCTATCGTATCACTTCTTATAGATCAATCGTGAAAAATATCTTACACATGATGCAGTGAAAATACTCACTTTACCAAGTAAATATCGTACAGAATCAATGATTCATTCAGCAACTGTATCTGTTATTGCAACAACAGAAGCATTCAGTGAATTCCCAATTGCTATGCAAAAAGCAATTATAGAAAAAGCATGGTATGAAAAGTAGGTTAATCGCTTAATTAATCTCTTAAATATAACAATAATCATATTGGTAATGATTGAAAAATATTAAAGTGAACAAGCTTTAAGTGGAGAACGCGATGGTATTTGAAGTGAATGGTACTGGGTTCGAGCCCCGGAGTGAACACAAACTCAGATGCAGGTACATCCAGTTGACGAGTTTCAAATGGGACGAAACACGTGTCAAACTGAATTCCACTGCTAGTCACCATGCATCTTTGCTTAAAAAGATTTTGACTTAAGGCTATATCGAGGCAATTCGCATAGGATGCACATATGCTAACAAGGGACTGATCAATTGCAATCCTAAATAATAATGGGAAGATACAAGTAAAACAACACTACCTGAATTTGGACAAGCTTTAATGTTTGCTGAAATCGGTCAGTAGGAGAACCTGGTCAATCGAAGTTTTCTCATTGATCAAGACTGACAGGTTTGCTTTACCTAGAATCTTTAGGAAATTGATGACCTTCTTGAGGTTCGAACACACGTCATTTAAATCATAATCAAAGACATAACCATTGAGCTATCCGGGTCTCAGCCGATCTCTTGTAAATCTGAGATATTTAGGCTGGTTGGTTACTGGTTTGTGACTGAAATATGTAACCACTGTCGATTTAGTCCTTGTATAGGATATTACACTTTCGATTGATGTTGCCCACTATTGTAGATTATTAACGTAGATGATCTATGTCGAATGATTGGAGACTAGTCCAGTTAGACGGGAATGGTGAGACGAATCAGCTAACGTCAAAGTCACACCTCGTGATCTAACTTGGATTACTCTTTCGACATATCAAGGTTCTATGGATGCTTTGAAGATCGTAGAACACAAAGAACGTTATTACGGAAATATATTAGTAAAAACAAGTACAAGCGAAAGTAGGACTACCACCGCATGGAGCAGTCCATGGCGTATGATTAACTGATGCGGGTTGGTTGTCCTTGACCTGGACGGAGATCGGTGAATTGTTCGATATTCAGTTACCCAACTGTTGGATGATTTGGCTAGGGCTCAGTGATATTTGACTGTCCCTACACTACTTATATCTGTTAACATAAGTAGCACACACCATAGTAGTGTATTTCTTTTTACTGTTGCGTTATTCTCTTTTAAGTATTATTTTTCAACGAGCTATATGACATTAACTTTAAAAAAAAAGCATAATTTCCTTTGAATATTTTCCTCAAAATACATTCTACAACCATTTCGAATTATCAGAGGGGTTTTGTGGAGATTGTAGTAATTTAATAATTGAATTTATGGAGTTCTAGTGAGAAGCCGTAATCAGTGAAGTTCAACCGGGTCTATTGTGAGATAGGAACTCACTGAAGACAATGGTGTACGGTGGTGCAATTTCGTGGATTGGTTGAAGTTAGACATTAACACCGTTGGATACCGGTCGGCTCAGTAGTTTAGAGATTAAGCGTTTGCGCACAAGACTGATAGGTCCTGGATTCGAATCTAGTAGGGAGGGATTGTAGATGTGCACTGCTGAGAGGTCCCACAATAGGACGAAACGGCCATCCAGTACTTCCAGGTTTTCCATGATGGTCTAGCTTTAATTGACTCATTAATTCAATTATTAAAAGTGTATTTACTTGGTTAAGCATCAGTTTACAACAACAAATATCCATGAATCATTTTTTCTCTTCCAGATATGAAGCTAGACGTATGATAATTCGACAAGGCCAACCACCATTAAATTTCTACTTCATCATTTCAGGTTCTGGTAAGTTTTATGAAATATATAATCAGACAGCATACCCAGGATCTGGATCATTGACAAATTAATTATTAGTTATCAATTGTAATAACTAGTTGTTTTACTCTGAACCTAGGTTTCATGCTCCTTAGTACTCGTCAGCAAATACATCCAAATTCTACAGGAGATCATTCGGAGCTAGGATAACCCAGTGGTAACGTATCTGACTGTGAAGCTAGGTGATATGGGATCAAATCCGTCAGGGAGCATCAGTCATCTCAAGATTACAGGTATACCTCGTTGACGAGTGTCAAGTAGCATGAAACCCAAGTCTAGGGTTTCTTATGGGATACTCCAACCACCATCCTATTAGTAACTAAAATGGCGTCCTTGTATCATAAACTTCTTATCGCATAGTTAAAAATACATGTAGTGTAAACCATTTTTAGATGATATTGATCTTTTGCTCGACAACAAATAATCATTAAAAGTTAGTGTCCAATAAAACGGGATCAATTTTACTACTTGGGATTTAGTAGAATCTAATACTGATAACTTGGTCGAAGTTCAACAGTGAAAAAAAGATACAATGTGTATAAATCATACTCTGATAGAGATTGATTTGATTATTCAGACTAATTCAAAGAATGGAACTCCACTAAAATTGTTCATCTGGGGAATGAATCTCTTCTACCAACTTAAAAATCACGAATAAAACAGTTACTAAGTGATTTTTCTGTATCAAGATAGTGTTTTTCATGAATCAAGGCTGATGTCTAAAAACTATGATGTATTTATACTATTAAATTCTAGAAAGTAACGTTTCCAATGTTCAATGTGTTGTGCTCAACATTCAGGTCATTTTATACCCGACCATTGCTGCTACTTTGACGTGGAGGTCGGTTTGTCTATCATAATCAACCAATCGAGCTATACTGGCTGGAGCGATTGTTCCACAAGGCCCTGCCATGCCAAACAGGTCGGTTGAAGAATGGTTAGACTAAAAGCAGCAAAGCCAAGGTTCGAAGGCGAACTCGTACTGCTAGCTATACAAAGGTGTGACTTCAGCAAGGTGTTTCCTTCAAACAACCAGCATAACAGCGATGATGCCTTCTCACAAAGGAAGGGTAGGGTTTGAATAGGTCGACCCTAAAAATACACATCTCACCTTATCTCACAGATATCCGTCTCTGGCGGTAAGCTGCCAACAAGTACGGAGTCAACACGAAAACTGCTCACTAAAAGTTCTTGTGTAACCGGCCTCAAGCAGTTGTCCCTTGGGCACTACGGCCACGCTCTTAAGTTGTTAAGACTACTCCTCACCCAATTTACTTTTCAGGTACTTCCAGAAGAACTCTTCCACGGTGTTGGCAACCGGGAAGTGATAACCGTCCTCATACCTCTAACAGCACTCAAAACCACTGTATTCATAATCAACCTCCCTCTTCCTTCGTCATGAGAAGGCAGTGAGTAGGACTTCCCTGGCAGTGGTTGCATGCACATGGCCATGTGAGAGCATTGTGAGTGAGAATCGACTCGCCCCTTTCTCAACCATACCAGAGTGTTTGGCGGTATTACTCAGTAAACTTGATATCATATAAGATAATTATACATGTTAAACCTTTTTCATCGGACAAAGATTCTGTCTGAAACACAATTTAAAATCCTCAAATAAGTCATGTCATTACCGAAGTACTTCGTTATATTAACTATTATGCCTGGTAATGTCATTTCTCTTCGTTTGTGCTTAGTTTTCATTGAAAAGATTTATCAAATGAGTATATGACCTGATTAAATAGTTCTGTTGAAATAAGGTTAACTTTGTAATGAAACAAATAGAGGTACAATATTTGATATAAAAAAAGAATTCTGATTACAAATCTTGACAAAAGTTTATGAATCAAATTGATCACAATTGATTGATGAATGGATGGTGATCAATATCATGTGTGTCAGATCCTTCTTGATGTGGATCGAATCTTATCGATCAAATTGTAATGTAATCATTAGTCTAAATGACTTGACATTGTCAAATTCATCTACTATCAAAGTTAAGATCATGTATAGAATTGATCAAGGTTAATTTCGTATTATAACCACCAAATTTATGCTGTATAGAGGTCATATTGTGGTGTGTGCTACTTATGTCGATATAAGTAGTATTATTAACGCTAATCAGGAATAGAATGTCTAGCAGAAGAAGGTCGAGAAGATCGAGGAGGAAATAACGGGAACAGAAACCAATTGCCATGGAAATACAGGAACAATGAAGTTTGAGATGATTGATCGACATTTTGTAAATGAAGTAGTTACTGTATGGTACTCAGAGTTGACTAAGACGTTCTGTAAGTTTGTGTTGAGGTACGGGCGATTGTTCCCACTTATGTTCTCGTTCACTGCAACAAAACCTTATGAATTTGTTTCCTCATTATATATAGTATGCTGACTAGTGATTAGAAGTACTAACGACAAACTGTTACCGTTGGAGTTTAATCGTGTCGGTAATTAGAGTCTCATTGCTGATGGGATGAATCATTATTCTCCAAGTATCATTTTCATCGTGAAACATGAATGATGCCACATTATTTCTAGCAAAAATCTCGTTACCTTTAAGGTGTTACTCTGGAACTAAAGAAAAAGGATGATAATGGTCAAAAGGAATGTTATACTTGAACTTAAGCAGAGATAGAGAAAGGTGGGACTTCTAAATTGTTGATATGGAGGAAGAAAAATATTTCAAGTTTGGTTGTGTCGTAATAGGTTGATAATGATTGATGAGGTGCTTCCAGTTAGTAGTGTTCATTGCCCAATCTAGATGGATACGCTTTACAGAATAGTTTTCTAGTGTTATCTATATAACAGTAATTCTTCAGTTGACATCTTTGAAACCTTTCCTTCAGTCTTTATCATGTATTTTCCTTTACTCTTTCCAACTTTCAGTGGTTGTTAGTGTATCAAGAAAAAATAAACAAACAGGAGAACCTTATGAAGAGACTGTAGCTTTTTTAAAAGCTGGACAAAGTTTTGGAGTAAGTATTCTATACATATGTAAGCGAATACAACTTAAAGTATATTTTCGATTGAGATCATGAATCGACTGATGTTAGACCACCGTTGAGAACCTGGAAGCACTGGAAGGCCGTTTCGTCCTAGTATGGCACTCCTCAGCAGTGCGCATCCACGATCCTGCTCGCAGGGTTCGAACCCAGGGCCTTCAGTCTGGCGCACGAACGCTTAACATACTGGATCATTGAGCCAGCATCCAATGGTGTTAGTGTCTAAGATCAACCAATCCACGAAATTGCGCGACCATCTTCCATTGTACTGAGGTAGATACCTGTCTCTACCCGACACGGATTAGCTCCACTGGTCGCGGCTTCTCACTGGAACTCCGAGAATTCCCTTACGAAGATAGTCACTAGTGAGCACATGTTGATTATCAGTTTTGGGATATATTAATCTTATCATCTGAAATATATATTCCTCATTTGTTGTATTGTATTTTGTCCTATCATGATAATTAGGAGTAATTGAATTATAGTATGAACTAAGAATTCCAGGGATAACGCAATTGAATCAAGAAGTACTACACAAGCACTAACGAATGTACTGTATTTAGAATTCGAAATCAAACATTCAACAATTACAAAGGAGTCATTAGTTCATTCAAACACCACACCTATCCATGTTATCATTTATTTAACACATCCTTTGAAATGTTTAATGGTTGAACAATTTAGCTGTATTGTCACTTTATGTTTAATCGTCCGAAAAGTCATCACTTAGACAACTTCTTTTTACATTTTTAGGTGATGTTTATCATCTATTAACTTAAACTGAGAGATATTATTGACAAATAGAGATATGTACAGAAACCATAATGAATTTCATATATGTAGAGAATGAGACTCATTGGTTATGATCAATGAGCCAATATTGAGATTTATTTAAGGTTAGAGCATTAGTTATACAGAGTTTAAGTGTTCATGTGTTGTGTACTACTTATGTCGATATAAGTAGTATTATATAACACCAGTCAGGAATAGAATGTCTAGCAGAAGAAGGTCGAAAAGATCGAGAAAGAAAGAACGGGAACAGAAAGCAATTACTATGGAAATCCAAGAACAATGAAGTCTGAGACAAATAATGAACATTTAGTGAATGAAGTATTTACTGTGTAATTCTTAGATTTCACTAAGATGTTCGATTGTGCCCACTTGTATTCTCATTCACTACACTAACACCAAAGCCATAAAGTATCAAGTTTGATCTGTTTTACAATATCATCATTATGTATTATTGAGTAGTCTTTCACTAAAAACACCTTAGCTGATAATATTTCATAATGAAAACAACTTATAAATTAAATCAGAAGGGATTTTATCGATTTGATAGTAATTTTAATAATTGAGATCGTAAGTCAATTGAAACTAAATCATCATGGAAATGCTGGAAGCACTGGACAACCGTTCCGTCCTATAATGGGACTCCTCAGCAGCGCCTATTCACGATCCTGTCCCACAAGATTCAAATCCAAGACCTATCCGTCTCCTGTGCGAACCCTTAACCTGCAAACCAGTTGTCCAATCCTTCCATGTTTTCTATAATGTTTTCGATTGAGATCATGAATCGACTGATGTTAGACCACCGTTGGAAACCTGGAAGCACTGGACGGGCGTTTCGTCCTAGTATGGCACTCCTCAGCAGTGCCTATTCACGATCCCGTCCCACAAGATTCAAATCCAGGACTTATCAGTCTCCCTTGAGAACTCCTAACCATCAAACCAGCTATCCAATCCTTTCAAGTTTTCCATAATACTCTAACTTCAACTCTATAAAACTAAGTTTCTTTACTTTCTCTTACTGTTATTCTTATTCTTATTCATTTTATATACAGGAATTAGCTTTAATTTATGGTGGTAAACGTAGTGCAACAATTATATGTAAAACATCAGTAGAATTATTAGTTATGTCACATGATGAATTTAATAAAATCTTTATGCAAAATACTCAAAATCATGAAGCTGAACATATAACATTCTTACGTACTATACCATTTATACCAAATCAAATTATAAATCATTTAACTGGAGTTGATAGTTCTATTTTATTATTTACATTTTTTAGGTAAGTTTTTAAAAAAAAAATCGATTGTTTTTTTGTTTTTGTTTTAATTTTATTTGAATTTATGGCGCGAATATAATTTATGGATGACCTTAGAACGAAGCTTGAGTGACCTTGAGGAATATTAGCCAATCAGGATACAGTTAGTATGGAGTAAAATTTAGATTATACAAAACCAAAGAATTAAAGTGTATACACTACTTTTATGTGGTATAAACACTTTTTAAGATCTGAAAGAGGTTCAGAGGTTCTAAAATCGTAAAGTATATCATAGAGGAATTCATCTATATAACTCCATAATAGTCGGCTTCTGGAGCCATGATAAGGTCGTGAAAATGCTTTCAGCCTCGACCAAATAGCTTCATTATTATTTATGTGCATTCCGGTTGTTGAGTCCACAAAATGCCACTTGTGGATAACGACACGATGCACATAACCAAGTAGACATCTGTATGCTTTTCAATCAACCGTACGTGGATGCACATATTCTCGTATAATCGGTATTATCGTGGAAGTCTGTATGTTTCTAACTCCATGGAAGTGTTCTCGTTCACGACTATATTTATTGTAAGTTAAAAAGAAAGATACATGACTTTATCATGTTACTACAATACATTAAAATATTATTACTAGTTAAACATAAAAAATCTAGGTTCACTTGACGTTGTTTACTTGTATCTTGTTATTGTTATGTGAGACTGCAAATTATGGGCCTCTTATTGGTGTATATGCATACTGTGCGGAATGCCTCGATATTGCCTTTAAGTCACAAGCTTTGTAAGCGAAAATATATGGTGGCTAGCAGTGGAATCTAGTTTGACGCGCGTTTCATCCCAGTTGGGACTCGTCATTTGGATGTATCTGCATCCCAGACTTGTTGATGTTCACTCTGGGAGTCCGATCTAATACCATCCGCTTTAAACGTCATCGTGTTATCCAATTAGCTACTGAGTCCTGATAGCCACTTGTTTGTGCAATGGGGTGAATTTTAAATTCATTTAGTGTTGTTAATGTTGATATGACTCATATATAGAATAGCCTCACAAGTCACCTATCTATATTTTACTTTAGTTTATTCTTGCTTCATTGTATATCTATGTGTTTCTCTTCATTTTTGCTTCATCTACAGACGTAATGTAACCATCTGTATTGATAGTAATCAAAGTAATTGGATTTATATTGTTAAAACAGGACAATGTAGAATTCTTAAAGATGTTGAATTAAAACCGAAACATTTCAAGTCAACAGTTAAAACTCATAGACCTAAAACTGAATTCCAATATTATTTTGATTCGTCCATTCACAATGAGAAATCGAAAGTAAGTTAGTTATAACAAAAAGTTAACTCCGTTAAATATATCCCTGAATTCTTGTATTATCCCCTTGTAGATTTCTGGTTAGCGTTTTTTCGCGAGTTAGTTTTCTACGGGATGGGGTAGCTAACCCTATGCCCAACCCTCCTCCTCTATCCGGGCTTGGAACCGGCAGTAGTCCCCGGAGGGACTCCAGGAGGGAAAAGCAAGATTCTCTGATACAACACAACATGCAACATTCGAATCACACTTGACGAAGAAGCTTTAAAGGATGTAAAAACCTTTACATATTTGGGCAGTATCATCGATGAACACGGTGGATCTGATGCAGATTTGAAAGCGCGGATAAACAAAAAAAGAGCAGCATGTCTACAACTGAAGAACATCTGGAGCTCAAAACAACTGCCAATCAATTTCAAAGTCAGAATTTTCAATACAAATGTTACGACAGTTCTACTGTATGGGGCGGAAACCTGGGGAACCACGAAAGCCATCATCCAGAAGATATAAGTGTGTATTAACAGTTGTCTACGCAAAATACTTCAGATCCGTTGGCCGGACACTATTAACAACAACCTACTATGGGAGAGGACAAATCAGATCCCAATGGAGGAAGAAAACAGGAAGAAGTGCTAGAAGTGGATAGGACACACATTGAGGAAAGCACCCAACTGCGTCACAAGACAAGCCCTCACTTGGAATCCTGAAGGCCAAAGGAAAAGAGGAAGACCAAATAACACATTATGCCGAGAAATGGAGACAGAAATGAGAAAAATGAACAAGAATTGGATGGAACTAGAAAAGAAAGCCGAGGACCGAGTGGGTTTGATCTGTGGCCTATGCTTCATTAAGAGTAACAGGCGAAAGTAACTAAGTAAAATTAGCAAGATTGGAATTTCTAAACCGTCTTTGTTTTGAATTAAATCTTACTATAAATATCGATAACACTAAGATATGGATTATATCCAGATGATGGGTACTAATTATGAATGAATGCGTGTCAGTGATTTCGTTGCAAGCCACAATTCCAATTACGCTAAAATTCATTAAATGTTTTCCGGTTTCTGAATTCATTTCTCTTAACTTCACTTTTTTGTATGGATGATGTATACTACTTATCAATTTTGAGTAGTTTAATTGATATTAAATAATTTTACTGGTATGTCTGTTGTGTTTCTTTGTTGTAATAAAAATGATGTGTTGTGTGTGAAGATAGCGGATCATTCCAGTAAACTGCAGTAAGTAAATGTGAAAATAACCAACTCCGTCCGCATATACTTTCACTAAGATGTTCTGACACATATTTTTCACTTGTAAGGTAGTTTCCTCAAGCTTCCATAGTTTAGTCTTTTCTGAGTAAGCCACTCAGTGAGTTGTTTGTTTTGAACGATAATTGAAACGATAATTTCCCCACCCAATTCGGCCACATTCCACTGACTTATAGTCCCCCGTAAAACCTTATTCTTATTTACTTCCTTCAAAGAGGTCAATTCTTGGTGACTGTTCTTTTGATGGAATGATTAATTCCTGAACATCTTACAATATGAGGTTTGTGATTGTTTAGTTCTGATTCTATCTTTTATGACAGTATTGTATTCCCATCTTTCGATCATTACGTTTCATATCCATCTCGAGAGCTGTCTTAATATCCTTGAAAAGATAATATAGACATGTTGGAATAACTTAGCTCCATTATGCATATTGTTACTCTAGTACTATATTTACTTGCTTATTATTTTGATAAACTTTTAAGTGAAAAGAATATGGGTTTTCGGTACTGGTCTGTAGCTCTGGCTACAAAGATTTCTATTTGTCGAATTTGATCTTCATATAATTATTTATGTAATCAACTTCATTATTATGAATAGATTTTGTTTGCATCCTCACTTTTTTTCAAAACATTTTATACTACTTACAAATAGTTTGATCTTTCGAATGAAAGTTTCATACCATCCTAGCAGTACAAAGCTTAGACACTGCTGAGGAGTCCCACAATAGGACGAAACGGCCGTCCAGTGCTTTCAAGTTTTCCGTGGTAGTCTAGCTTCAGTTGACTCATGATTTCAGCTATTGAAATTACAAAGATCTCCACAAACCCATTCTGATAATAGGAACAACTTGTTCATAAACTATAGAAAATTCATAGAAAAACTAACGATATGAAACATTTTGAAATCTGTATAACATTTTATTAAGAAAATGAAGATTGACATTGGTCTGAGAATTTCCATGCCTAATTCACACTTTACGTCTTATATTAGTTTATAAGCGTTCACTAAAGAATGATCAATAACTGTAACAAAATAGCTTCTATCTGAAGTTTGTGCTGATGTCGTTCAGAAGAACGATAAAATCTCTACGACCAAACCATCCAGCCGAGAGGACAAAACTTCATCAAATAGCTTCATCAGGTAGCTCCATTGTATGTAATTTCAAATGCATTTTTGAAACTTAAAAAAAAACATATTGTAGATGCCAGTTCGGTTGTGTGCATCACAAATAATCCAAAATATTCTATATAAAAATTTTCCATTGATTGTTGAACTCTTGTGCAGCTGATTCAAATTTAACTATTCATTGTGTTTCCTTAAAATCATCTAACCTGAATAATCTTTTATTATATCAAACTCAGTTATTACTGATGTCTTACGACTAAGTCTAACGAATACTTAACGCTGATTGAGTTATATAGTCTATTTCAAGGAATTAGAATTTACTAGTAGCCACCATAACAAGCTCTCAATTGTTGTTTGTTTCTCAATAGTCCTTCAATTACTGTTTATCCATGATGAAACTCATCATCATTACAAAGCATATTTCTCGATACATTCTATCTAATTAAAGTTAGTAATTTCGTTAATTTACGATTTCAAGACTTTCAATCACTGAGTGGTGATCAATGTCATGTGTGTCAAGTCGGTCGTGGTCCGGATAGCTCAGTGGTAACGTCTCTGACTGGGACGCTGAGTGACACGGGGTCAAATCCGTCAGGGAGCACCAGTTCCCTCAAGATTACAGGTACACCTTGCTGACGAGTGCCAAGTAGCACGAAACCCGGGTCCAAGATTTCCTGTCGACTACCTCCAACCATCATCTGATTTCAAGACTTATGTATAATGAGTATATCTGTATTATCTTATGATGAGAGAATAATCTAACGAACCACATTTTAATGATTCAATATACATAAATCAATTTTGATGAATTTAATTGAACGTCTACTATGCTACTAGTTACCTTATGAGTAAGGATAACTGCTTCTTTATTTAATGCTCGAAAAAGTCTAATGTCCAGCATTTTCAAGCAATTTCCCATTAACCTGATAGATGAGTGTTATATATTAAAGCACAAACACCACTTAGACTTTTATACTAGTTATCAATTGTTATCAGCTTATATCCTCTATGGAGAGTTCACTAAAAGATATCTCAATTTGTCTGATGAAAAAAAAGCAAATAAGACAAAATACTATGGGTTAAAATTATATCTTCAAGGAAAATCACACAATACTTACTCACTAAAGGAATAGAGAATTACTAAGAAATGCTTGATATAGCAAACAGATTGGACAATGAGAGACAGTTGTGCTACAAATTTACGAACATATATCCTGCTCGTATCAGGCGCCAGCTCAGTAGTCTAAAGGTTAAGCGTTCGCGTACGAGACGGATAAGTCCTGGGTTCGAACCTCGTGAGGCGGGATCGTGGATGGACACTAATGAAGAGTCCCATAATAAGACGAAACGGTCATCCGGTGCTTCTAGGTTTCACATTGTGGTGTAGCTCCGATTGACTCATGATCTCAACTACTGATATATCCTACTCATTACTTTACTTTATAATCATATGTGATATTATCATAAATGTTAAGACAGCTCGGTTGTGAATATTTAAGATAGAAATGGAGGAATACACAACTTAAGTCAAAATGTCACCTCAACTTTTAAAAACATAACCGATATATATATATATATATATATATATATATATATATATGAAAGTAAGTTGAAATGAAGGTATTCATTCAAGTAATCCATAGATTGATAAGGTTTAACCAGTTCTTTAGATATTGTGTTCTTTCAGCTGAATTATTGAATCATGAAATTTTCACTATCTTTCTACAAATCATGATAAATATCACCTCAGTAACTAATATCGGTGAACATTTACATTTAACATTGGTGTTCGGTTTCTTTTTTGATAATCAAGCGTATTCATTTTGATGGAATTTTATTCTCTGAGCTGGATAGTTTAGTCACAGAGCTTTGACTATTCATCTGAACGACTTTATCAGCACAAATTTCACGTAGAAGTGAAATGTTCAAATTTCTCCACACATATGGTTCACAGCTTGTCTTGTAGACCTTGATGTTAATTGGTTATTGTTAACCTTTAATCTATCGCTGTTTACTTTTTTAAATTGGTTACATCCCCTATTGGTTTGATGTTTGGTTTTATATTTGTCTACCAATTGGTAGAGCTGGATGGTTATTTAAATAACCATCCAGCTCAGAGAACAAAATTCCATCAAAATCATCCACCTAAACTACAAATCTTCTCCATCATCTCATCAGTATATTCACTTTACATTGTGTTTTATCAGACAATTTGAGTTGCTAAATGAATATGCTAGGTTTGAAGCTATCACGAATTCACGTAGTCTGCGAACGAGAACAAAGACTCAGTGATCAAAGACCAATAAGCTAGCCATTTGATGCGTCCCAGTCCCGCTAACTAGAGAAAGAAGTTCAAGCTTAAAATACGGAAGTATATTCTGCAAACAGTCAGAAACGAGCGATAACAACAAACACAATTCAAAGCATATATATGTATACAAAACCGTCCTTGAGAAAAGTCACCAAATAACATACTAAAAGACGCAACAGACCAATAGCATTTGAGATATTTTCCAAGTGGGAAATATGACATGAAGGTGACAGGAGAGCTTTTGGCGCGAAAACAAAGAAATTTGAATTTTCTAACTAAAATTACAAACTTGGGTCCTTTTCCAAGTGAGTTCTGGGGATCTAACATCCCCAACAGAATAAGAGTTTGACATTTGAGGAATATCATATTAATGACTGAATTACTTTCTATTAGTAATATCTTGATCATTCTCTTTCTTTCTTTCTTACTTTCATCCCTTTTCTCCTAGTCGGATACTCGAAATTCAACTAAGAAATTAGATAATGAAAATGTTAAAGTATTTATAGAATTGAAAATATTGGAACCAAACAGTGTATTTGTAAGTTCATTTTACAATTGATTAATCATTGGATGATAGGTGATCAATATCATATATATAAGATCTTTCTTAATGCAGATCGAATCCTATCGACCAAGTTCCAATGTGGCCACCAGTCTAGATGGCTCGATATTGCCTGCACTATGTTGAGATAAGATAGTGGTTGTAGGTAGTCAACAGGAAAACCTGGACGTAGGTTCCATGTTACCTGACATTCGTTAGCAAGCTGTACCTGCAATATTGAGGGAAATGATGCTCCCTGATGGACTCGATGCTGTGCCACAGTCAGAGACGTTATCATTGAGCTATCTGAGCCCTCAAGATTGCTGACGAGTGCCAAGGTTCAGGGTTTCCTGTTGACTATCTCCAACCACCATCTTAAGCTCATTTTTCTCATTCATTAAGGATGTACATTTAGAAAACTTGTTAGTTAGTTACATCTATTAGTTCTGTTTAACTCCGTATATAACACTTAAGCTAATCTCGTCTGAGTAATGATAGTAATCAGAAACAAAGTACCGAATAAATTGGATGAATTTATTTCAGACACTCGTTTGATCAGACAGATGTTAAAGATGAGAAAAGGAAAAGTCAAATTTAATAAAGCGAGAAAGCGAAGATACCGATCCCATTTGATGAAGTGTGACTCAATATCTATAGCCATACATAAATAAGCTGATGACATGTGACAAATAGGGTAAGCAATACACACGCACACTCAAATAAAAATACTTGGTGTTATAAGCGAATAATTGACAAGGGCGGATATTGATTTATCCGGAAGCTAGAATAACCCATGTAGGTGTGATATCATAGTGTTGTGTGTGTTACTGATGTCGACAGATATAAGTAGCATGTATCAACAATCGAAAGTGAAATGTCTGGCAGCAGGCTAAGAAGATGGAAGAAAAGAGAACGAGAATAGAAACTGGTTGATATGGCAACGAAGGAATGATCAAGTCTGAGACGATTGATTGACATTTTGCAAATGAAGAAGTTACTGTATCGTTCTCAGATTTCATTAAGATGTTCTGTAATTTTGTGTTCAGCTGTGTTCAATTGTCCACATTTACGTTTTCCTTCACTACAATACTATCAGATACTACGTGCTCCTATTCTTTCCTAATTATCTTTATTTTTCCTTGATTTTATGAATTGTCTGATTTGACCTCTGTTCTCCTTATACAAATATCATAATGAGTTAGTGTGTGAACAGACTGTCCAAAATGCATCTGATTGAGATCACGAACCAAGTGATGTTAGATCACCATTGAAAACCTGGAAGTACTGGTCGGCCGCTTCGTCCTGTTGTGGGACTCTTCAACAGCATGCATCCACAGTCCCGCCCCGCTGGGTCTAAACCCAGGGCTTTCAGTCTCGCGCACAAACGCTTAACATCTAGACCACCGGGATCGTGGACGCGCACTGCCGAGGAGTCTTACAATAGGGCGAAATGGCCGTCCAGTGCCTTCAAGTTTTCAATGGTAGTCTAACATTAATCGATTCATGGTCTTAATCAAAAACTTAATAATCTCCACAACCCTATACCGATCAAAATGTATCTCCCTAATATATAACATAACTTTTTGTAAATTTCATTTTATCATTCATTTATTAGGGTTTAGAATCTATTGCATTTGAACCATTCGGTGGTACAACATCCGTTTCATTAGTATCTGATGGAGCAGAATGTGTTGCAATTAATAAAAAATTCTTTATTGAACATTGTCCAACAAATTTTTTAAATTGGTTACGATCCAAGGTAAGTAATAAATTATGTTGTCGGTGTTTTCAGTGGGTACAGTTTATTTATTTATTTTAGCATATAAAAATTGGTAGAAAGAGGCACCAAACAGGTAGGCGCTACATAAATCATTCGATTCGTGTGAGAGTTGGGATACTGCTCGGGTGCCCAAACGGAAGCAGGCGGATTTCTTAGGGGGCCACACCCGGATCCTTTGACCAATAGGTCTAATCCACAAGGCAGTAGAGTAACGTCAGGAGATACATTCCCATGGTAGCCGGTGACCAAAAATTGGTTCATACGCCATTTTTTCCTTCAGAATCCTGGAGCCCATGTGCACCATTGGTATCCAATCAAGGTTTTCCAACACCCCCTGGGTGAACTCTACATGTCCACCAACCCGGTTAAACTGCCGGATATTCGCTTTTCGTCCTCTCATTTTCGCAAACAACAATAATGCCGCGACAAGGCAATGAGTGGAACTTCACTGCCAGTGGTTGTGTGCACGTGACCATGTGAGAGCATTTGGGGGCTGTGTAGTGTCTGAAGTGGGATTCGAACCCACGCCCACATATTGGACGTGATGTCGACAAATATAAGTAGTTGTATCATCAATCGAAAGTGAAATGCTTAGCAGTAGAAGGTTATGAAGTTCAAAAAAAGGAATGACAACGGAGAATCATTGGTGTGGAAACGAATGAACAGTGAAGCCTGAGACAATTGATGGATATTTTGCAAATGAAGTATTTACTGTATGATTCTCAGAATTTGTGTGTTCAAATACATTCGACTGTCCCTACTTGTGATCTCGTTCACTGCACCTGCAGTTGTTAGAGGTTTTTAGTATATAATAATTTAGCGGTTGATAAATCCCCAAAATAAATAGCTTTGTAAGGCTTCGACATTTGATGCTGACCACATTAGTTTTAACGGACTCACCTAACCGAAGGCGCTTGGTCACGCATGCGCACCAGATCACGAATGAGAACGCCGTACTCAACTTCTCCTGCAACTGCTAGCCAGTTTAGATCAGTCATTCTTCGATATATTGATAACCTATCAAATATATCTTCGAATCTCTTCGCTTCTGACTTAATTTCACTGGGTGGGCACGATTCAATTATATAAGTTCTTGCTGATTAAAGCGTTGTCAAACGACAAATACTTGTGGCACCATCAATGATAATCATCCCTTATTAGTAATCTTGGTTCACAGTAAAATCTATCTTCAAACTGTAGTATGAATGATGAAATGGGTTTGTTTTAAGTTTCTTTCTTCAAGTAATTATCATAAATTTTATTCTTTAAAATGAATATATTTGTAATTGAATCCGTGAGCCGGCTCAGTGGTCTAGAGGCTAAGCGTTTGCGTGCGAAACGGATAGGCCCTGGGTTCGAATCTCGAGGGGCGGGGTCGTGGATGAGCACTGCTAAAAAGTCCCACACTAGAACGAAACGACCATTTAGCACTTCTAGGTTTTCCATAGTGGTCTAGCTTCAATTGACCATGAATTCAACTATAAAATTACTGAAATCTCCAAAAACAGATCCTTCTGTATATATTTTTGACATTTAAACAGGTTCAACCATTTCCTAGTGTTGAAGAATTGGAATCAAAATTGAATACTTATCGGGAATGGAAAATTTATCGTAATCAAGTAGTTCAGGATAGCACTTCTGGTACTAAATGATGTGATGTATGGGTCATTTTGATAATCATTGGTGTTATCGGTCATATATATACATTGCAAAACTAATATGATTTATTATGTTCATTTTATGAAAAGGTGAAAGAATCTTTTTTCGTTTTTATGATTATTGTTGGAAGGGAATTGACAAAAATGATTGATCATAGAGTAGTAGCCATCGTCATGTTTATCTAGTTTTGTGCTGTCCGTTGGTTGAAGGCAATCTGTATGTAACGTACATCAGTGGTATATCCTACGTGACTGAAAAAGCTATCATTCTCCTTCACCATATTATTAAATGTATGTTTCTTTTATTATTAAGTTCATATGAGGCTACCAGACAACCAAAAACATGCTACAGTAAATCATATCTTCATAATAGGTACTTGGCTTGAGTGGGCGCATAAAAAATGGTGATAAATGACTCCCCATACACATAGACTGATCTACAAAGTGTTGTCTGTAAGGGCTTTATATGTTTATTGCAAGAAGTTACAAAGTATTTACATAGTACACATACATAGCACCCAATCGTCTATTTGCATCTTTCTGTTTATTCTGTAATCTAAACTGTTTTCTCAACGGGCTTATAAGTGTTGTGCCGACTCCGTGCTTTCGACGCAATGAAACTTTTCACTCTATCCAACAACTATTGCGAATTTGATGCCACATTCTGCTAAATACCAGTTGCAAACATCCTTGTGAATAATGTCCACAACAGTAGTCAACCTCTGCCTGAAAAATAAGAAGCTGATAGAGGAGGTTCAAAGAAGCCCTACTTGACCAGTTAGTTGAGTATGTGGAATCTATCGTCTATTTCGTATAGAAGTTTCTGAAGTGAGCTGATCACGCTGTACAAATTGATGTAACTTAGCTAGCGCTGTCTATTAGATCAGACGTTTTACGTAGACGATGGCATGTTCACATACTCATAGCCAAATGCATCCCAGTTAACTTAATATTTCATATTGACTCGTCGACTACACTTTATATTAGACAACACATAATCCTCCCATCCCAAAGTTGTACTATGGTTGCTATCCCGAATCCTAATTGCTTATTGTGGATGGTATGCTAACAGCCAGTATTTAACGTTTAGTATACTGTTTTCAAACCTTTTTACCGACTGTCGCGATTAAAAAACAGACGAGCGACTACCAGGTAAGACGTAAATTTTAGCGACCGATAGTTTCAGTCGCTTACTCAAAATGACGATTTTTCCAAACATTTGGAGACTAAACGAGAGAGTCCGAAAACTGACAACAAAAATAAGTAACGTTATGCTTCAATTTGTAATTCTCACTAATATCATGAACCAACCACGATACTTGTATACATCAGTCAGCGGGACTTGTCACGATCACGTTCAACCAAAGTGGACATGTATGAGCCGATAAACAGAATTTCGGTACAGACAAGCAAAACAAAGTTTCCTAATGCTGCTACTTCTTTTGCGTTTTTATAGTACTCCTTTATCAAGCATTTTGCTAAACGCTTTTCGAAAAGTACGTTAATAGGTAGATTTAAATGATAGTTTCACTATAGTCGACCCAATGAAAACAGTTCAATCTGAGTTTGACCTGTTGATTGGCTTACTTAAGCCTTTTAAAACTTGTGAGATATAGGTTTTCTAGCAAGAATCTCTCATTAATTCTGTCCCGAGTACGCCTTTTCAGTCACTAGTATTTTCCATCGATTCTTTTAACTTCTATCTGCTATTCCTATCGAAATATATTCTTTGATTTGTCGCTTTTCCTATACTTGCTTTGTGATATACTTTAATGGTTTATACTGTGTCTTATCTACCTTCCAAGGTTTCATCATTCCATTCTCCACTGGAAGTTTGTTTCTTCCCTGTTAGTTTAGTTTATGGTTAACTGTCCTGCAATATCTTGTGTAGACCGTTGTTTGTGAATACCTGTACTATTCTGATGTATGTGGAGATAGTCCTCAAGTTTGTAGCTCTGAAAACTAAGACTGTCTTAACGTTAGTGTTAGAAAATCTGACTTTAGTTTTGGCTGACAGTTATTTTGAGTCTCAGATATTTTGCAGATGTAGGAACCCTATAATCCGTTAGCTAGTCCATGCCTTCACATCTATATCAGATCCCCTTGTTTATCAGTGATGCTGCACAGGCATCTACAAACCCCCATTTCACTCAGGACTTCTCCTTCAAGTGTGAATTTGTTGTTGTTCTCCTTGTTATCCCTCAAGTTCCTGCTATTTCTTTTGTGAATATTGAGACTCACTGCTATAGAAGCCGTTGTCACTCTCACAGCCTTTGTCTGCATTTTTTACTATGTGTGGAGAGAAGCGTTAAACTATCCAACTGTGTTCATTGAGTCCTGTGTTTTTCCTGGGATTTGGAGGTTTTCATAACCCAGTCGGCAGCTGACAGAATGGGAAAAAGAGGGGGTAAGCAGATTTGTTCGGTGCTAGTTTTTATTCGGAATCCATCTATTGTCTGTCCTCCATGCGTGACATAAAAATGTACCCCATTGTATGACTTCTGTGGGATAGTGAAAATATCTTCTTATATTCATAAGTTCCGAAGAAGATTTCGCAAGGTTTACCTGCTCACGCTGTAAGATGCTTTCCCATAGTCAAGATAGTTGGTGTATAGTTATGAGTTCCATTCAATCGATTGTTCAACAATAGTTTGCGGTGTTGAAATTTGGTTAGTACATGATCATTTATTAAAAAAGAAAACTTGATATTCAAGTTCAGCATCTACTAAATCTTTCATTTGATTTAGCGAATTCCAGTTGAGAACTTTGTTTGGTACTAACAGTTTAAATTTTAAAATATGCAGTAATACTATCAGACATGGCACAGTGACGGATTTGGTGATGAACCTTAGTTCAAGTATGTCTAAACTGGGTAATGGACGATAAATGTTTTATAACGACGACGAAAGCTTCACAAAAGAGTGAAGATCAGAGACAGTGAATCGATAAATATAAATACACATTGAACAGGGTATACCTGAACAATACTTGCCATAGCAGGTACAGTCACTCTTACAGGTACAAACTCGCAAGATCAGTTACAAAACAGTAGAGAACTAAAATATCATGAATATTTAATAATCACCTGGTGGTGAGTAGAGAGGATCTTAAAAACCATGGAACAATTTTCTGTAAACGGCTGAAAAAATCACCAATCTTATGGTGCCAAAGTGAGGAGCTGTCCATAGTAAAAAACTTTTCTACTGGTTGTAAAAAATTGTGATGATTAGGAGCATTTGAATTATTATAAAAATTAGGGATCCCAAAGATAACGTAATTCAAGCCTCAAAGACCTAGGTGAGCACAAACGAACGTATTGTGTTTGGAATTCAAAATCAGGAAGTTATCAAGTACAAAGAAATCTCTGGTTCATGCAAATACCACAGAAATCATTTATTTATCCATCCTGCGATAGATCCACCCAATCAAACCATACGGAACCAATAAAAAGTATGGTTACCCAAAATGACAGGCGCCCGAAATTAAAATTTTAAGTACAACAAAAGGAAAACAGTAATCAGCAACCTTAATGATATCAGAAAACCAACCGCAGTTTGAGAACTGTAAACATTATAGCAAGGACTGTAAACAAACCAAAAGAGGACCAAAATATTCATAATTGCACGCAACAGTAAAAGGGGTGGTACATTTAGGGAAACGAAGGGCCATTTACGAGGAAAGATATTCATGGAAACATTTTATCACATATTCGCACATATATATATATATATAATACTACATAAGGCCTCCAAAACGTTGCAGAAGAGGAAGTACAAATAAAACTAATTGTACTTGAACAACACTTTTTCCAACGCCTACAGACACTCGATAGGATTTAATTATCAAAACAATAAAAAATTCCAACTAGTCCGGGAACAATGTTCTGATAAAAGAAGAAGCACAAGTCAATTTACTTTGTTCTGAAGATGAATGAAATACATAGAACAATAGTTGTGTAGAATTATGGTCTACTTCGATATTAGTACTGCTCTAATAATAGATCTAATCCTAGGATTGTGGATTTGTCATGACGTAACTACCTAATGTATAAGATCTTAAGTGGAAGTCACATCATTATCTACCCTGACTCATCGTATTGTAACAATCATCAATATATGATGAAGAACACATTTAGGCTGGAGATAGAACAATATATTTAACATTAATAAAAATTACTTTACATAAGTATGACCACGCCTGCAAAGTCGAGCCATGTCATCCGACCAACTCGAACTAATTCAATTAATCCTTCCCGCCTTCTCCATCGTTGGATTTTTCTCCACGTTGAATGCTGAATATCTATTTTCTAAGTTGTCTCGTGTTCAGCCTTGAGGATTTTGTGGATAGGGCCCAATGCTCTTACAATATATATATATCGAGTCTATATGGAGTCTAAGTGAATGTGTGTTTAAGAAATACTACAAACACAGTCAATTAACCGAAAAAAGTAAAATAAAACTCGCCTGGGTTGCTTTTTGAATTCGCCGTTACTTCTAGGGCTAGTTGTGTGGTTTCATAATACATGCTCACAGGGAATTCGTTCAACGTTTGCCTCCAGCTTTTTAATTGTTTACTATTAACGGTAAAATCTAAGAAATTGTTTAGTTCAACAGGCGCAGCTTGTTCACATCACTCACCTTATTTGGAGATTTGTCGTTCTCTGGTGTGACTTACCCCTTTTTATGAATTCGACTACTGTCACTCAGCAATTGTTTAGGAATACCTAGCTTATGTATCCAGTATTTTTTTAATAAAAATTTTAACACACACTCATGAATCAAAAGTAAAAGATCTGGGGAGTTGTTGATAGTGTGACATCGAAAAGTATCTTTTTTAGTTAAATAAAATAGGTGGGACGTTATGAGAAAAAAAAATTTTTAAATAAACGCAGGATCCTACTAGGTACGTGATTAGATTTTATTCTGCAGCCAAAACTGTCAATATTCTCCAAATAAGGTGAGTGATGTGAACAAGCTGCGCCTGTTGAACTAAACAATTTCTTAGATT